AGTACTTATTTACAACTAACTTACTACTCTTGTGACATTTTTCTGGCCAACCTAAATTAATACATTTATATTCTTCTTCTTGTTGCTCTTTTATGAATGCACACATATACTCTTCTAAATCACTATTTGGGTTACTTGAATCTTCCGAGTCTGAATCTATCATATTTATACTTTCTATACTATAAATACTCTCATTATCACTTAAATCATCTAAGCTATATATTGACTGTATATCTTCATCTTCTTCTAACTTAAACAACTCCATTAAATTTACTTTTTCTCTGGGCTATTTTCCTAATTTTGGACATTTAGGTCTAATATGTCCAACTTCTCCACATGAATAACATTTAAAACTACTCTTATTTTTTGGTGTTTTATATTTTTTAATCCAAGGTCTTCCACTTCTTTTTCTAAATTGTTTTGGAATATATTTTCTCATCCTATATGTTGTTAAAGGTTTTATGCTGAAATTCATATGTTGTATGACTTATATGATTTATATTTCTTTTTGTATATTTTCTTATGCTTATTTTTCTTATGACAACTATATTGTTGTGGTAAATCTATATTTTTACAGCTCATGTAAAATTATTTCCTAATTTGTCTCTTAGCTTTTATTTGACTACATTCTTGTACAAGTATATCATATACATGTTGAATTCTAGGTCCTATTGCAATATCATTTTTCTTTGGATGCTTTTGCCATTCATTCCAAATCTTTTCACCTATTGGTTCTTTTATTTTTGTCATATAAGTATCTAATAAATTAATATCGCTAATTCTACCTGTTCTTCCTAAATATTTAAAGAAATTTGTAGTATACTCAGCTATATACTGTAAATCACAAATTTGCAATTGTTCTAAATTTCTAATTGCCCTTATTTGTTCTTGTTCACTTCTGCCATTTAACCTATTATGATCTAAAAATTCTTGTTTAATCAAAGTAACAAAACCATTTATATTAAAATGTGTTTTAGCTGTAATACTGTTCTGGATTTTGGATTTTCCATGACTGGAAATAATCAAAAACTAAACCATCCAAAGTATGCTCAAAGTAATCTAACATATTTTGTGAATTACTAAAATCTAACATTAATACTGTATGTACGCAACCCTTTTCCCATCTCTCAATCGTTTTTTTCCCAATCTTGTGGATCTATCTAAATTTAATATATTGTCATCTATATTAATTTGTTCTAACCCTCTCAAATATGGAATCCTATTTTTTCTAGGTGATTTTATCATACTTTCTTCTATGTAATCTACTTTTGCTTTTTCGTTATATTGTTCATTTGTTGGTCTCAAAAATTGTTGATCAGTTCTACTTGCGTGTCCTGGATTTTCTACTTCTGATGTACTACTTTCTTTTGCAGGATTACATTCTTCGTTCAATTCTAATAAATTATTATATTATTTTGATCCTAAAATATGTTCTACTCCTATTTCTAAAATTAATTTTTTCATATCTTCATCTGAAATTCTATGTAGTTCTAAATCATATGTCCTATATTTTTTTAAGTACTATTCTTCATCTAAATGATTAATATCTTCTATAAGCTTATCTACAATATGATCAAAATTTTGCTCAACTAAATTAATATCTAAATTATCAAAAGCCATATGTATACTCTCATTTTCGATTTCACTTCCATCCTCTTTTATTTTTTCTAGTTGCTTGTAATTACTAAACCTAATTGTTGCTTGACCTGTACTAGTTTCATATATTTGTACTTTATCTGGTTGTCTATTTCTTGCTACTTGTAAATTAGGTAATGTCTACTGAGTTCCTTCTAAAAAACTATTATCTACGGGGTTTTGCTTCTATCATATTTACATGTTTACTACCAAATGTTTGAACTAAATTTTGAAATTCTAAATTAAACTTATAATTGTATTTATCAGACACTTTATCAATATACATTAAGCTAATTCATAAATTTTTATATTCTCCTTTCATATTATAATTTTTTGTTCTTATGCTTACTTTAATATATTTACTAAATTCATTAATTGTCATAACATAATTTGGAATACAACCTATAACAGCGAAGTTTGAACTTAAATCTACTTCAGTTGTTGCTATTGCTGCTTGTTGGTGATTATCCCATCTATCGTCATATATGTATACTAATGCTTTTGTGCCTACTTGTGCTCTGGTTAATCCTGCTATTCCAATTAATATCGTTCCTATATGAATATGATTGAAATGTGATTTTCTCAAATGCATAACTGCTTCTTTACTAAATAAATTAGATGTAACTTCTTTATCAATACGGCTAACTTCATGTTGACTGATGCTACTTACAATTCTACTTCTGTTTTCAAATAAACCTAATTGATATAAATTATATTTATTTTTCTGTGTTCTCTCAAAACCTCTTCGAATAAATTCTTGTGCTTCTTCATTTGGATAAATATCTTCAGCTCTAACTACTTCTTTTCCTTTTTTCCTAAAGAGTAGCATTTTCTATTATCAAAAGAATTTAGTTTAGGTCTTCTAATATTATTATTTGCGCTTAAAGTTAAATTTTCTAATTTATCTAGCAAAGATGGTGGAAGTGATGAAGATGCGTTATGTAAAATTTGGTTTATTTTTGCTATTTGTTCTTCAACTTGATATAATTTTTCAGCCAAACTTAAAACTAATTGAATAATTAAATTATTTTGCCTAATGGGAATATTACTACTAGCTACTTGTGTTGAAAAATTTGTTAAACCTACTGGTTCTTTGTCTAACTTACTAATTTCTTTCAAAGTTTGGATATATTTTCTGCTAGTTCTAGAATCGATCATTAAATTAATAATTAAACTAACAATTTATCTATTTTATTGTGCAACTTATCTACTTGTTCACTTAACTCTTTTTGGACTTCTAATTTTAACTGCTCAACTACTTCTAATGATCTAAGTTCTACTTACTTTGGCTTACTATATATGAGGTCAACAGACTCTTTTATCTTTCTTTTGTTAGGAAACTTTTGAATATTTTTATTATTATCTTCTAACTGAGATGTAATATAGTCTAAATTTTGTCTAATTGTTTTTATGGAATTTTTCTGAAAATACTATAACAACTGGTTTCACAAATGATTATGCTTATTATTTTCTAATTTTATATTTTCTGCTTGACTAATAATAAGATCTACAATACTATTAGCTAGTGAATTTTCTTCTCTATGCAAAATATGATTATGTTTTCTCAATGGAAAATAACAAACTAAATGATTTTGGTCTAAGATTATTTTTCTTTTTTGAGGTTCACTAATTTCTAAATTAAGATAATCTATCATAAACTACAGTCTACATTTCTCTAGAGTTACAGCTAACTGGCTTCTTAGAAACTCTCCTTCTTAAAGTTTGATATGTTGCTCTTTTTGCTTCTAAAACTTTATGCTACACTTCTGTGCTATTATGTTTACGAATAAATGAAGGATGTTCAAGATAACTAAGATAAAACTTTTATTTTTTCAAAGTACTGCTAATTCTTTTGGATATATATGCTAATCTTCTCTTTATGCTATTTATAGTGGGGTGTCTGGGATAATAAATACCTGGTGGTTGTGATTGACAAGGTCTACAAGGACAATAATATTTGTTGTTCATACAAATAAACAAGTATGATATCAGTTGTATCAATGACATCCTCAAGGTACTTTACTATTATAATTATACTATTAAAATGCTAAACTTGGCTCTAATACCAGATTTGCACAGCAGGCCCAGTTAAATAGTCGGATGGTCATTATAACAACTAGACATAAAACTTTGCATATGAAACTCAACATGTTTCAGCATGACGGCCACTCACAGTACAGGTATAAGGCCTTAACGGCTGAAGTCAGACGTACGAAGAAGTCAGAGGTACCCTGGTTAATGTCCAGTTATTTGTATGGCAAACATTCAACTATAACAGAGTGCTCGAACAAAGTATGATCGTCAATTTAGCAAGTTAATAATATAACTACAATAGTGTTTCCCTGTTTTGGACTAGAAGTCTAATTAAACAAACACACTAAAGAAAGAAAAGAAACTTACTTAAGACTTGGAGATTGCTTGAATATGTACACTTGAACTTTTATTGATATATAAAATGTTTACAAAGATAGTTGTTTACAATAAAGTGTTTACAAGGATGCTATGAAGACTACAGATGCTTGAGAGTATGAAGATGATGTGAGTATATGGTGAGAGTAGGGTGTTCAGGTGTTGAGATGCTGAGGTATCTTTACAATGAATAGAACTCCACTTATATATACTGAATGAGAATACAACGGTACAAAAATTTACAAATGGATGGTGTGGACATCTCCTTGGTATTTGTCACTTTGCTTCTACTGTTGCTGAAAATGTGTCTGACTTTTGCTTTGTTTGATAAAATGCATGTGAATTTGCTTGTCTCCTTTTGCATTGCATGTGAACTTGCTTGTCTCCTGGAATTTTTATATTTGCTTTAAAGAAGAACATGTGACTTCTGATAGATGTTGGAGATTAGGATAATTTTGGTTTTTTCTGTCAGAAGGTTTTCAAGGGCAACATTGCCATTTTTGAAATTATTTCTCCTTAAGGTTAAATGAAAGTTTTGTATGAGTGTTTCCATTAGTTTTCCTTAATTGTTTCTCATATGCAGCTTCGCCAATCCAAAGTCTCTGCAGGATTGCCTTAGCTCATAAATGGTGATGAACCTGCTTCCGTCGTTGTCGAACGACGACAGATTTTCCTCCCTATCCAGCTTGTTCAAGTGCACCGTCGCCGCCAGAAACTCACCGCAGTCGATCGTCTCCAGTTGTCAATTAAAGGGAAAAGATGAAAGGAGAGAGAGACCTTAGTCCGGGGGTTTGGATTTGGGTGGTGTGTCATCAGTTAAAAGGGAAAAAATATCCGGAAAAATGAAGAAAACTACTTGTGAACATCCAAAGGCCTCAAGGTACAGTACTGACAGTATATATCTGCATATGAAGCTTTGCTAAGAAAACTAGTTGTGAATCGACAACCCAACGGCATGAATTGCAGCAACAAATTATTAGAAGAAAGCGGGAAAATTACATTGACAAACAGCACTGATCCAAATGAGAAGGCCACACGGAACAGCTCCGATTCAACAACATAACTCAAAAGAAACTATTCAAAAAATTCAAGCGCTGAGCTAGCTTCAGCTACTAAAAGCATGAACACGGGCAAATTTCAATTTCGGCATTGTAGCCTACAATTCCATGTCAGCTTTAATCTTCCGCCAAGAGTCCATGCTCATTTTTCAACTGAATTGCAAAAACCTTATGCAAGAACAGAACACAGTTGTTGGAATTCAGCTAATGATCATCTTGCTAAGGAAATCAGCCTGCTCAGGAAAGTACTCCATCAATTCATCCTTGGTCACCCAGACAAAATCCTCGCACTTCCCAATGTTCAACTTGTTCGCTGCAATCACTTGAGACTTGAAAAAGAATTGCTGAATCGGGGAAAATGAAATTCTGATTAATATACAGGATTGACAGCAACACCAATATGTACTTTATCATTTATTGGCCGAAGCCAATCCCATGTAAGAACGGACATAATTTAAAACAACAAACCTTAATATTCTCTGCTGTCTGTTCCATATGGCCCATGGGAGCATTTCCAACAAAGTACGTGTGTGACAGATCTCCCAAGACTGATTTTAATGCAGATTCTGCGCACTGAAAATAAACTGGATTTATGTAACCGAGAAATAAAAACGAAGAAACTACATGGGATTTTAGGAGGATAAGAAGACGGTAAGTATATGGCATCTTATAGCAACCATCACCTTCCGCAGTGTCTCTTCAGACTGGTAAACTTTTTCTGGAAAATGCCAGACTGATTTTCCAGCAGATCCATCAGTGGTTCCGTAGAGAAGAAGATATAGTCTTCTGTCAAGGGCTCTCTGCAATGACCTAAAGAAAAAGAATCAACTTTTAACATTCAAGGCCTAACTACCAATAAAAATCACTGAAATGTCCTAAAGCTGGCAGTAAAGGACAATTGTATGTCTTCTAGCTCCCAACAGGGGTGTAGAAAAGGTTTTACAAGAAGATCTCGCAACATTACAAGCAGTAAGAACTTTTTATGAGCTCCTTAACTTCAAACAAAAACTGAAAAATATAAATTTAAAAAAAAGCAAGAAAAACAGATTCGTGTAAAACATCATCAAAATTGTACTGCATACTTTTTATCATTCTTTTTGTCAGCTTCAGTGATCCGCGGAGCAGGTTCATAATCTATCTGGTAGTCACCTTTTCCCCTGTTCACCAATAGTAAGTGTCATGCTAGAGTGAAAACTTGTATTTGCATGTCTTGTGGGCATCAAGTGTGAGTAATGCTTACACAACAAACCAAAAAGTTGCTTATAAACTATACTTCCAGTTCTACCCATAAAATTAGAACAGAATAAATGAATTGGATGGTGATGCCAAACACATTTCCTGGAATTAATATCAACATTATCCCTGTTCATTACTCTGAGACCCATGAAACAGAATCCACTACAGAATGTATCGTCATTTCAAAGAACTTTCAACCAATAATAACCTTTTGAAAACTAAAGACATTCCAATCAAACAGACCTAATATTTGGATGATTAGTTCAATTAAGAAGTTCTAATGTTTAGAGCTTAGTGATTAGAACAACAGAACGCCCATGATGTGTTTGCTACAGACAGTACAAGAAAAAGAAGCACCGACATTTATACGGAATGTAGTTAGTTCTTTAAATACGAACATGTGATATAGTTGTGATTAAATGAGTATATAACAACATAAACCTAGATATATGTGCCAATATTGCGATTAAACGAGAACAACGATAACCTTTGAAACAAACCTTACCTAGCATTAGACTTGTCTAAAAGCTCATCAGGATATATGCGCCGATATTGCTGTCGCCACCGGAACCTAAAAAGCCCAACATGAGCCACTCATAACACAAATTTACATATATAATCAACAGAATAAACCACATTTTTACAAATTTAGGTACCCTAGTCAATATCAATAACCATATCACATTCATCACCCAAAACACCAATATTGAAGCCTTCAGTCACTTGCCCAGAACCCACCATCGCGGCTAAGAAAAGTAAAAATCGCCCAAACAGAGCAATTCAGGACAAAAGGCAAACTGAATCTGATTTACATGCATACACAAGAATGTATTGTCCCCAATGTTATGTAAATGTAAAGCTGAGCTCAATCCAGCTCAATTCAGCAAGGCCACCTATTTGTACAGTAAATTAATCAACATTTTCAGTCCTTTCCACAACTTTCTGAGCAACTAAGCCCTACCAACCCTCTTTATCTAGTTAACTTTCTCGCATTTTCTGAGCAACCAAACAGAAAGTAAACAAGAAAAACATAAAAGAGAGAGATTAAGAAGCAGACTTACGCGAATTCCTGATACGCATAAACGACGGGGTCAATTTTGGGAATAACAACGGGCAGCCTCTCGAAGAGCACGGACGCAACGATTTTGTCGGAGGAAGACGAAGAGGTGGATGTAAACGCTCGGCCTCTGCCCAGAGGACCGCGCAATATTGTGATCGTCCGCTGCATCCTGAATCAGAATATCAACCGGAGATTTTCAGGAAAAGCTCTTTCTAAAACCCTAAATTCTCAGTAGCCATAATAAACAATGAAAAAGGGCCTGCTACTGCTGAAAATTACAAAAAATAGCCATTATAAAGATAAATAATAATTTATATACTAGGGGCGAAAGTGCACTGCATGCGATGTTGGGCTCGTGCTTTTAAAATGACTTAAAATTGTTTTGATGAAATATTTTTGGAATCTTGAAAAAAAATATTTGAAGTGTTTCTTTTAACTAATGTTTGTTGCAGAAAACATTTTAAGTGTTTCTGGAACCTAAAATTATTTTAACTAAAACCGTTTTTAATCATTTTAAAATGCTTAGTAAATAACGAACATGCACTCATGAACACAAACACCATAATAAAGACCTGAAACCCTCCACCTTCAAGAGAAGAAGGTACTTTCGAACACTTATGTTATACGCTTTTACCCTATCTCGGAACAAAAAATATATGTTGCTATGGAGTGTAAGATATTTTAACTTTTTAACCATTAGATCTTGATTTTTGTGTTTTTTAGCAAAGATCTAACAGTTAAAAAAATTGGGAGTATTCGATAATTGTGGAATGTGGAAATCATATACAAACTCTTTGTTTGATTAATGCTCATATAGGTCTTTTGACTGCGGTACGTGGCCAAGTGAATTTTTCTGACACACATAGTGCACATTTAAATTACACATTTGAGTAAGGCCTATTCAACTTTCATTTCGTTAAGTCAAACAATTTAAAATAACGATATTTGTTCAAATGTGCGACTTAAATATACACTAGAAAGGCTATTTGTGGCCAAGTGCCACAAATATGGGCTGCCTTGCGGGCTAGCGTAATTGGACTTGTTTCTCTCTTACCTTACGTAGGGTTTTTGGACTCGTGAGGTTATTCGGACTCCTTCAGTCTCCGTTGAAGGGGATAAGTATCAACAAAAAATATTCGTAAAAATTTACCTCATTTCTTTTCATTTGTATTTTATTTTTTGGGACAAACAACAGCATTCGTGTTGATCGAACTTGTACCAAAGTACATAGGCATAATTGCGTTCCGTCACTACGGTAAAGCATCATCTACATTTGTATTTGTTCACCAAATTCTATGATTAGCAAAAACTAACACAGTTAAAATAAAAATTAGGCTTTTAACCAAAATGGTCACTAAGATTTGCATAACACATAACACATCATTTGGTCCCTAAGATTTGAAATCAATAGACGTGGTTGTCCACCATCAATCATTTTGGTCATTCCATGCAAAATTATGTTAAATAATGATCAAAACGACAAATATACCCTCAATTAATAAACAATGAACCAAAATAATTTGACAAAAATTAAGGATATTTTGATCATTCTATTCTTATTTAATGGAAATTTTTCAATGAATCACCAAAATAATTGATGATGGACAAACTCAGGGACCAATTCTGTTGATTTCAAATCTCAAGGACCAAAGTGAGGAGTTATGCAAATCTTAATGACCATTTTGGATAAAAAGCCTAAAAATTAACAAATAACTACTCATTTCTTTTTATCAAGGAATAACCTGCATTGCAAATTGTTGTTTTGTCACCCATGGTGATTAGTGCCTTCTTCTTCAACCCACTACATCTCGAGTTCAAACCCTCCACCCCCTTCTTAGAGCCGCACCTTCTTTCATTGACAAAAAAGAGGATAACAATGATGGGGTTGCGTATATGTGGCATTGTTAAAATCTTGCTCAGTAAAAGCTGCATGTAAAACCTCAAATCAAGAATAATACCAAATCTACGTCAATATAACTCTGTACAGATTTTCTCTCATGCATACGGATTTTGTGCGTATGGCTTGCACATGACCCAATTGAGTCTAATGTCACCATGACGACACTCCAACAACAACAGAAACAGGTCAAAATCCGGCCATGCACAACCAATGGCGTTGTCGTAACAATGTCGTTGGATTGTTGAAGTATCACTAGCATCGTTGTGGTGTTGTACATGGTTGTTGTTGGAGTGTCGCTATGACATCATTAAACCCAACCGGGTCATGCACAACCCATGCGCACACGAACCATTGCGCAGTAGAGAAAATATGTAAGATAACTGAGAAATCTAGCTGTTGGATATAAAACGGACAAAAGTAGGGAAAAATACAAATGCACCAAGTTGTTCAGTGTTGCGAGGCAGATATGAAATCAGTAAAGAAACGATACTTGTATCAATCACTACGATACACTGTTATTCTATTTGAACCAACGTATTCTCCATCATTAAGTACATTAAATAACAAAAATACACATTTAGAGGAAACAAAATGAATCGAAAAACGCTCTGTCCCATGCACAAACCCTAGAACACTTCGGCCACCTTGCTTGCGAGAACTCGTTCCCTTCTTTCGATGTATCCAAACGGGAACCAACCTGCTCTGCCTTTGCATTCGCCTTCTGCCCAACCGTTGTTTGTCACCTGTAGAAAGAACAAAACATAATCAACCCAGAAACTCGCATCAACAATAATGCACTACATAATTTAGGCATACGCCTTCCTTCTCGTTTGATTGTTTTATTTATTCAACACAAGCAGCAGACACGTGTGCAAATAAAGTAACAAGAACTGCAACCTGCAACCTGGATTCACTGACTTGCCTCAGATGACAGGCATCTGAAATCAGCAAAAACCAACCGGATTAAGCCTTATTGTTGCAAGGTTTAATTGTTCTCAACCCAACCTAACGTGGATCCAGTTGGTATGTATTAGTTATCACAATTAAAACGATAGATCGTGCTCATTTTTCCATTTAGATTATCTTAGGTTGGTCCAATCCAAGCCCTGGGCCAACCCGAATTCAGAAGTTAAGGATCAAGGTAGTTGAAGTATAACATCTAAGTAAGTTGTAAACCTTTCGCACAACAACATAATCACCAACTGACAAACTGAGCTCTATGTCAGACACAGCTTGATATGTAAACATAACCTGCAATAAATTGACAAATAAACAACACAAATGAACAGCCTTCAAGTGCAGCGGTTGCATCATACAAGCAATTAGAATTCAGAAATTTCATTGATTACTAACCTCCCCTAAGAAGTAATCCATGCTGTCCGACGATCCATTATGTGTTTGAGAAGCATACATGCCGTTAACTTCTTCATAAGATGGAGGTGGAGGCATGGTGGTTTCAACAGTAGGGCTAGGAGGTGCTTCAATCCGTTGTCGTTCTGATACCATCTATCAATATCAGAAAAAAAACATTACCGAAAATCATCAATTGACACAGAAATAAAAAATGGGATTTTGCATAGTTGAGAAAATTAGTTTATTAGGGAGGGGGGTGCAACCTCTCCTTCAAGTTGATCAAGTATCTGAAGGATCCTCTGATGATAAGTACGCTCTGCCTCAACCTTCATTCCAGAACAAAATTGACAAGAAGAAAGACATTTTGATAAGAACAAGAAGAAAGTTTAAACATTAATTCCCAATAAATAACACGTAAACATTTACTTAGGCTTAACATATTTAACTCAAAGTATATATTCACAAAACTTGTACTACCATGGCAATGAGTCGCTGGAGTGTCAACCTCTGTTGTTGAGCCTCAACAGCTGCCATTGCTGCAGCAGCTTCCTTCCCTAATATTGCCATATTTGACTTCAGATCTTGCAGCTTCGACTCTGCAGCTTCCAGTTTCATAACATTTTCTGAATTTCCTGGTGTTTCCCGCACTTTTGCTTGGCGTTTGGAAACTTCAATAGCCTGTCTAGGTTCAAAAGAACGCACAATGACATACTTGTACAAGAAATCCACCAGATGAATTAGCTTTCACCAATTTGCATGAATAGAAGGTGCATCAGTTGACCCACACTGATTCCAGTATAAAATATTGTTGTGGGAAGAAAACGCAGAAAGTCTCTGGTAAACACAGATTAAAGATACCTGAGCTTCAGCTTCTTGTCGCATTCTATCATAACGTTGAGCAAGATGCCGAGCATCCTCCAATGGAGCCCCCATTACCATTGCTCTTAATGGCTCTGCCACCTAATAGTATTTTTAAACACCGTGTCACAAACTTAACCTCTGATAGCAGTAATAAGGAATGAACGATTTCAAATTAAATCATACAAAGGTATTTACAAAGTAAAGGATGACCGAAATAAAATGTCAAGAAGAACAAAATGTACTTTAAGCATATAATCAATGTTGGATGTGCAAAATGAGCTTGGATGATGCCTTTTGGAAATTTAATTTTGGAGGTGGAATGCGGTAAAGATTAAACTAGGAGAACAGAATCTAAACAAGATATCGACGTCAATAACATCCTCTGTTCTACCCACCAGTAAGGTATGGCTTTCAGGTTAAAGAAATTGGAACACAACAACCAAAAGAAAATACTAGAGACTGCATCTCATGAAGTTGTACCAGAAATATTGTGAATGGCAGGAACATGGTGGAATGCAACAATTTATTAATGCAGTATCCCTGTACAAAGTTGCCATAAGAATTTCCTTGGCACATTTAGTCAGAAAATATCTCAGAAGAGAAAAATAACTTGTTTTGTCATATCTAGTGTAACTAAAGTAAACAACTAAACATAACAGAGCTGCCAATTTGAGTGCTTCATTCTACATAAGTTTATGCATGGAAAGCTCTTGATGCAACAACTTGGGTTCACTATTGTCACAAAGTTGTATACAGAAGAAGAGGTAGAATTTTGTATCTGAATCCACACCCTCTTCACTTGTCTAATAAACGGATTCTAACATTAAACCTGGGATAATTAAATTTAAAGTTTTCTGAGCAACTGTATAGTCCAACCCCCTACGGCCAAAAAGAAATAATGCATTACAATTATCACGCAAATAAATTATAAAATCAGTATGAAAATGTATTACTCATTCCACCATTTCAGAAACATATGCAAAAGTCGTATCTATAGAATTATGCATCTAAGTGAAGAAAATTTTGTCACACCTGTGTACCAAGAGCTTTCAACAGATTCCCCCTCTCCTTCTCCATTTGAGCACGAGCTCGCCCATAGCTTAAGGAAGCTCTTGATAATGTACTTCCACTAGTACACGTATTTTCAGCACCATATTTCCTACTATCTTCTGACAACTTCGTTCCTATCCAATAATTAAGGTTATGGTTTTAATATGAATATTAGGCCTTGTGAAATCAGCTTTGAGCTTGACAAGTGACATAAGTTACGAACTCACCTATTTCAACTTGTTTGGACCCGGTGACAATATATCCCTCCACACCACGAACAATATCCCTTTGATAATGCTACAACATGAATTAAAATTTCTATAAGTAGAGGTAAAAACATTAACTGAAATTAGAGGAGGCAAGAAAGGAAGTAGGCCACCTTGCCGGCACGTGTTGATATGTAAAGCTTTTCAAGTTTCTGATGCTGCACGAGTTCTGCCTCATCAGTTACTAAATTATCTGAACCTCCGTATCCTCCAGCTCCAAACTGCTTGAGGACAGCCTAAAATAAAACGAAAAGTAATCAGATTTTCTGTTACACTTAAATGAAAATGAAATGTAAGTAAACCTTTGTTACAACAAACATACACTCAAGTTTAGCCACGTTATTTGTTCACTTAAAAACATCGTTAATAACAGAGAAGGATGGAAATATACGGGAGCTTCAAATTGATAGATAGTCGTTGAAGATACACCACGTACTTTTTTGGTACATGTGTAGGAATATGACCACATGAACAGAAAACGTGACATGAAAAATAAAATTACAACATAAACTGAAATCCCTTAACACATCGTTAGCACAACTTTCTTAAATGGTTAATAGTTTTTCAGCTGCACTTTAGACACCAAGGTAATCAGTGTGTTGCCATGACCATCTGTAATGTGCCCATGATTAAAACACATTGCCACCCAATTTCTTTAAGGGCACATTGCCATGTAAAACATAAGAAGAACACATTTACTTATCATGACCTGCATCCCATAAAACACACTTCTAGGCTACAATTATCCGAGATATGGAATAATAAACGTATTAAAATATTCTACCGAAATCTTCTGCTTGCAATCCTCAACAGACACATTTCTCAGTTCACCAATGAAGCTTCCAAGATCAACCATCAGATTCCAAAGATGTTAATGGAGCAACACATTGAGGCGTAAAACATACTAACAACATTACGTTTCATTGGATGAACAAGCTTGACCTGCATCCCATAACACAAACTCTAGGCTATAATTTTTTAAGGGGCATGGACCAAGAACTGCAGTAAATTGTTCTACCCATATCTTCTTTTTGCAATCCTCCACACATCATTTCTCAATTCACCAAATGAAAATCCCAAAATAAACCATCAGATTCCAAGAAGGTTATCGGAGCAATGCATCGCCTATTCTCATTACACATTACACTAAATTTCGGTTGCATATCGAATCTCAATCAACAAAATTCATAAAAGATCAAGACTTTGAAAAGCAAATGCATTGCGTTGCATCACACCATGCGAAGTGAATCAAGAATCTCAAACCCAACTGAGATAAAAGCATTGCCAGCAGAACAAGATTGCAAATTTCACCAAGAAAGAAGAAAGAGAAAAAGAAAAGACTTGGAAAAATGAAAAATTGAGCTAACACAGCGGGGAATTAAAATTTGGTAACAAATGAGGCATCAAATATGGATTCAGGACAGGGATTTAGAGATTGAAAGAGATTGAAATAAAAATGGATCTGGTGGGAATTAGGATTGTGGGTTGAGGGTACCTGTTGCTGCCTGGCGACCTGTTCGCGAAGCCGGGTGGCTTGCTTTCTGATAGCTTCCATTCAAAACTGAAGGGCCAAATCTGGCGAGTGTTTGAGGTCTCCACCAACTGAATTTGTAAGAGAGAGAGAGAGAGAGATGAAGGCAGGCAGGCCGGCTTCGGTTTCAAATAAAATGGTAGGGAATTGCTTTGATGGAGCTGTTTGAGCTTTTGGTCGAGTGCCTGCAGACATTTCACCTATTTGAACTCAGATTTGTTTTATATTTCAGGGGCTTATTCGGGATTTTGAGAAATTTTACTTCTTTTAATGAATTTAGGGGTACTCAGTTGGGATTTTAAGTGACTTTGAAATTCAATGTGTATTCAATCAGAATTTTAAGATAATTTATTAAAATCCTTAAAAATTATGATGTATTCAATTAGAATTTTAAAGAAGTTTATAACATTTCAGGTGTATTCAATTAGAATTTGAATTTGAATAATTTGGAAGAGTTGAAGAATTAAAGGGAATTATAGAGATTTTGTAGTGTATTTTAAGCATCTGCAAATCTCACATCTTCCCATAAGATTTCGAGATAATTGAATCAAAATTTTACATGGAAACTCTAGAAATCAGTTAAACTCCAATAAAATCTCTCAAATTCCCAATTGAATACACCCTCTTAGTTTTTTAATCTTTTGAATGTGTTGTTTACATAGATGGAATCCAAATGACAAAAATAGAATGAAATTAACTTTGTAATTAACATGATCATCATTTGCCATTTTTCCATTTAGGACTAGATCTGATGGTAATTTTCTTTATTCGTAAGTAATAGGTCTTAGGTGTGATTCTTGTCAAAAATAAATTTGAACCACATTATGGTTAGTCCCCTCAATGTAGATAACATCTTATGTGTATTTGAACTAACCTAAATAATAGATTAATTTAAACTAATCAAACTCACAAGTTCACGAATCAATTGTAATAATATATGCAAATATGAGGTCGATTCCAATTGTTTTAATACCAATTTAACTGATTTATCACGCTACACTTTCTTAAACAAACAAAGGATAAATTGAGTTGAATAATTGAGTAAAAACTATACTTAACAAGAATAAGAAAAATAATTAATTAAAATAAACACACGACACAAGATAACATAAGGTTATGAATTCACCAATAACAATCCTATTTACTTTTCCTAGAGTCAACTACTATCCAATTACCATGTCAATGTAAAAGGTTGTTCTTTCTAAGGTATGGATCAATCCGTGATCAGACAACAACTCATGTATCTCTACACGATAATTCTATCCTATTAGTTAGGCATACAATTAAACACATAAAAACCCATTACCCATAGAAGAATCGTGTCAACCAAGTAGGACTAGCTTGATACTAGTTTTCCTCATTAGTTTGTCTACTCTTCTTAATCTTAATTGCAATAAACCTAATTGATTGGTCATCCGCATAGATTTATCTAAATATTTGGATGCAAAATTCCTAAAGTTGATCAGTCATTAGAAATCCGAATCTAGAATAAATTACACACAAAGTTTAAGAATATAACATGGCATATACTCGGATAATAATTAACAAAGTACTTCGCAAATATTCTTATCATGGTTTCATCATAAACCTTAGAAAATAACTTAATTACACATAGAAATAAAAATAAAAGAAAGATAGAATCAGGAGTCCGTGGCAAAGTACATCCCTAAGCACTTCTTCACAAATTGCAGAGATGGTGAACGGTAGTATGGATGTGGGATGATGTCGAGATGTTGCTCTAGAGAGAGCTTAGGACACCTTATTTATACTAGAAAAACCCTAAAAGGTCTGGGAAAAACTCTCCTAAATAAAACAAACTCCTAAACAATTAATGACACTAACTAGGAAATAATCTTTCTTAGCTTGGGAATACATCATATGTCTTGTGCGCCACATTGAAGTGAATTTATCTTCTGGAAAATTCCATAAAAATATGAGAAACGTATCTTTATCTCTTAACTTTCCAAGTGTATAGCGTACGCCACTAGGAAAAATCGGGAAAGCCTTTAAATCATCATTCTCCTACAGCTGCGCAGTTCTGACGGAAAAACAACTTTTATGGGATTGATTTGTAAAACTGGAATGAATGTCTCCATAGGCAAATTATGAAATTTGGATATAACGAGCTTCAGCCTCTTAGCTTCCTTCTCCAATTGGCATTGCACCAAAACTCTTTTGGAAAGTCGAATTATCACCAAAAATGTTCTAAGTGTGCAGATTGGCCAAAATTAAGGAAAGGAAAGTAATAAGGCTTTTTTATAATCAATTCCTGAACAAAATTTAGGGATAATTAACATGAAAATATGATAAATAATGCACCTATCAACATCGTTTGTTCAAAGAAAAAAAAAAAAAAAAAAACATGATCGTCATTTGATCATTGAGATTGTGATTGTTATGGTAGCTAATTTTCTGTGTCTTCGATCTTGACGAAAATGTAACTACAAAACAATCAACACATTTGATCAAAGTCTAAAGCCTCATACACTCAAGTGGAGTGGGGTAGGGGAGAGGGGTTGGCCAATGGATCTCCGATGCCTAAGTTAGTTTCTCTGAGAAGAGTGAGTGTTTAGAGCCTATATGCATAGCAAAAACCTTACCAAAATTTGGTGAAGATGAGGTATATAGAGGAGGAGGTGGCTGGCCATGGGGTTAGAGTTTCGCTGTACACATGACAGAATCCTATTGGTCAAGGTGTGTCATATGTTGGATAATGAGTAAAGAATATTCCCCAAGATATTAATTAGGAGAAAATATCTTGGGATAATGGTGGGAGTATCCCTAATTAATTGTGATAGAGATTTATTACTTGATTGAGTTGACCTTCAATTAAAAATGTATTAAAGATATGATTCAGTAATTAACTTTATCTTTAATACCTTGACTTTTCCATGCCATGAGCAGTCAACTGCTTAGACCTTCAAGGATGTTGAGTTGTGCATAAAAGTATCTGAGAAGCATGCCCATTTGGTGAGGGCAATCTTGTCTTAAGGAAAAGTCAACATGTCGTCTTCTAGATTTTTGGAATTATTTCTGGCTCCACAAATGCCCGCACACCTGCTGGACTATAAGCAGCAAAAGGCAGTAGGTGTAGAGCTTCCAAGCTGTTTAGGCATGCATAGAGTTGTTTCCCAATTTGATGTAGATTTTCCACTTCGTTTTGAAAACAGAGTCTTCATGGAAAAGGGAAGCCAATAGCCACCAAGACTTATTTATCCCTACAAGAAAGAGAGAAAATTTTCATCCCTATAAAAAATAAAAAATAAAAAAAATAAAAAAAAGAAAAGGCTAGAGGATATAGCAAACATTTCCCTTTGTTTTCTTCTTTGCTTGCCCTGCGAAGAATTGATCGTCGTCATTGTTTTTCTTCTCCGTGCCTTTGTACCAAGGTAAGAAAAATTAAATTTTCTTTTTTATTGATTTTTTGGAGCCTTAGGGCTCGTTGAAATGGCTCAAAGGGGCCAAGGATGGTGTCAGGAAAGCCACAGGGCTGCTGTGCAAGTAGGCAGCACAAGGAGCTATTGCAAATTGTGTGGCGTGGCTGGCTGGCGTGGAGCAAGAACTCGCCTTAGCTCTGGCCGAGGAAAATGGCGTGCTAGGGCGCGAAGCTTAAGCTAGCGCGGCCGTTAGCCTTCTTGTTGGATCTTCAGTTGGGAAAAAGTTTTTTTGTTGTTCGTGAGGTTTTGCTACTTCTGGAAAGCTTGACATTAACCTGTTTCCAACGTCCGAATCCAGAGATAGAGTGAAGTATCCATCTCTAGCTAAGTGTGGATCAGTTTCTGAATGGCTAGCCGCTACAAGAAGTGGGGAGAAAGTTTTTCACTTGGAAACGTGGAATTGGCCGTTAAAGATGCGTCAAAGCCTACTCCTTCTACTGTTGCCACGTCTATGTTGGTTGCCAAAAAGAAGGAATTGCTTAAGTTTTCTCAGCTACCAAAGATGAAGCAGTTAAGGATGAAGTTGTCAAGATCAGAGTTGCTGAATATGAAGTGTTGGATGAGCAAACTGTTAAAGTGGCTGCTAAAGGCATGATGGCTACTAAAAACCAAAGATCATCCAAGCTGCGAATAAGCAATCTGCTTTGTGTAGCTTATGTTAGATTTTGGCAACCTTCGTGCAAGTTTATTGACTTGCTAGAAATTTAATAGACTGCTTTCTTTGTTTTACTCCATCATCGTTTTTCTTGAAACTTTGCTTACTTGACACGTCTTGCAAAACTTTTAGCCATAGGACCGTCGGTTGGGCACACTGCTTTGAAAAAATAGACGATCCCACGTAGTCACTATGGCTGTGACCCTTGGCTTCTTGAGGTGTCGAGCTGTTGAGCATGTCATGACTTATTGGCCATTGCCGTGTTGGTTAATCTGTTTTTGAATCTTCGTTCCTTTAAGCTGAGTAGCCTACATCACAACATGATAAAAATCTGTGGGACATTAAAATCATTAACTAATCACATTAAAAGTGTGTAGCTGTGTAAAAATTCATGGATGTCGAGGAATTAGTTTACACTCTCGCATTAGAGAGCAAACCCAGATGGGTGTCGGAGAATTAGTATACCTTCTCGTGTTGGAGAGCAAACCCATATGGGTGTCAGAGAATTAGTTTACCTAATCGCACTGAAAAGCAAACCCAGATGGGCGTTTAGGGATTAGCTTATCATCTCGCATTAGAGAGTAAACCAGATGGGTGTCGGGAAATTAGTTTAACCTTTTGCGCTAGAGAACTGACCCAGATAGGTGTTGGGAATTAATTTATCCTCTCGGTTGGAGAGCATACGCATATGGGTGTGGGGGAATTAGTTTATCCTCTTATGCTAGAGAGTAGACCCATATGGATGTTGGGAATTAGTTTATCTTGTCACATTGGAAAGCAGACCCAAGTGGGTGTCGTGGAATTAGTTTATCCTCTCGCGTTGGAGAGCATACTAGATAAGTGTTGGGGACTTAGTTTACACTCTCGCATTGAAGAGTAAACCTAGATGGGTGTTGAGGGATTGGTTTACCCTCTCGCACTAGATAACATATGTGACGACCTGTCCCTAGTTTTACAATTTTATTAATTTTAAAAAAGTGAATTTACGAAAATGCCTTTATAGGCGAGGATGTTGACTTTAGTTGACCAACGAGTCGTGAGACGTATGAAACATTCTTTTAGTGTATCCTCGTAGTGCTCATCACTAT